ACATTTTGGCACGGGATTGCCCTCAAAATCAATACTAGTCCTAAGTGTCTGGTGTGGATTTATGGGAGGGGAGCTGCCATTTTTTTTTTAAATTTTGGTGTGAGGTTACCCATAAAATCTATACCAGACCCGAAGGGACTGGTATGGACTGGGGGGGCCCACACACTGTTTTTTCTGTATTTTTTAATTGCCAGCAATTGTTTTGTTTACATTCAGCTGTCAGAGGGGAACCCAAGCAAAACTGTGAAAAAATACCTTCATGTTTCTTCAATTAGGATTCCCATATTCTAAATTGCTAGTGATGAAATCATAAAAACACTCTTCTTGAAATCATAAAACATCCAAATTCTAATATATCCTCCATATCAGTTAAACATGTTCCTTCCCACAGCCACAATGTCTGTTGATTACATTGATCAGAAATACATCTGATAAGCACAACACATACAGCCTAGGGGGTAACATTTGATGGGAGCAGTAAACTCTGACAGAAATTCTTTCGTTTTTGGGAAATCTTATATAAACTATTCAAAATCTCCTGCATTTTGAAAGCTTCCAAATAAACAAATGCTAGTATTTCCTCTATGTTTGTACTAAATTATTATGAGATGCATTATATTATAGAATATAATCATAAACTTTGACTCTTCTACACAATAACAGTAACCGAATAACTAAATAAGGCAATGTAGATTGCCAAAATAGTGAAATACCTTTTTCCAATATTAAAGATTATGATTATGATGCCTTCCTATGCCAAGTGACATGTATATTAGCACCAGAAACATTTATAAAAAGGTTGAAAATAATTTGAATGGATGGATGGAAATTTTCCAGTGCCAAGGGCAATATTGCATGAAGAAAATATATTTCATGGCCATGATCATTCATTAATAGGCAAGTGCATATTTAATGACTTATCCATACTAATGAAATACAGTTTTGACACAGATTATCCTTATTGTAAAGAAAACAATTATTTGCTTTTAAAATACAGTTTTCAACAAATTACCCCCATTTTTGTTTATGAAAATGAATGGTTTAGTGATTTAAAGCAGAACTCCAATCATACTAAGAAAATGAATAGCCCATATAGCTGTCACGTAAACCTGTCCCGGCCTGTTACGGGACAGTGAAGAAGCAGCATGGTGATGAGTTTATCTCTTTGCCACTTTGTGTTCTCCTTGCAAATACATGAACTTCTGCTGCTTTTTCCTCTTCTTCTTCTGCTCTACTGTAGAGGAACTGCAAGAGGCTATTACCCATTCATATAGAAGAATTTACACAAGTCCATACAGTTCAACCAATGGATAGGAAAAAATAAATTATTCAAAATCCGAAATGCACAATCCTATACCCACAGTTGAACCAGTTGATATTAAAGGATAATGTTAAAGAATAAGTTCACCTTATGTAACATGTTATATGTTACACCCATGTAGCGCTATTCCCGCAGGAGCAGCTGTATATTTCCCATGTCTTCCCCCAAATCTTCACCTGCAGCTAAGCACACAGTATTTCCTATAGCCAGGTGCACACAACTTCAGCTCGTTACTCCAATGATAAGTCTAAGGGTTGTAGTTTTTGTTGTTTTCATTTTGTTGTAGAACTGTGAAAGGGATATAGTGGGATACTCTGAATTGAACTTTTCACAATTGAGGACAGATTTCACTAAGTGGATCTATAGGTTTTCTTTGTGTAGAACTGTGTATCAGACTGTACAAAGGATGGAGCAAAGTTCTTTTGTAGAAATGTAGAAACTAAATGGACAGCTGCTCTTCTGGATACCAGAGGTGTCCTCTCTAGCTTGCCCCCAGCAGCTGGCTATGTAGGTCCTAAGGGGGTTAAACAGCACAAGTCCCAGGATTCCTTTTGAATGGTCTGTTCTCACAAGGCCCTTGCTGCAGGTCACCTTTCTGCATGATACCAAACAGGATCTGTAGACATCCCCCTCAGTCAGGTCTCAGAAACACTCTGGGTTTCAACATTTTGGCACTTCGGTCTCCCACTCGAGGCCTCCTGGCAGTATGTGCCAGGGGAGGCAGCCACTTCAACCCTGGCTGGAACTCCCTTCTCAGGAGAAGAGGAATAACCTAAATCCCATGTGCTCACTGAGTATAAATGCCATCAACCAGCATACTTAAGGGCACCACTTCCTGTAATTGGCTGTAGCTGCATCCATATTCATACTGCTCATTTGCATGGCCCCATACTGTCACTCCAGAACTATCTTGGTTACCTGGATACGGATGAACCTTCACCTGGATGCAGCAGCACTGCCAGTCATACGGGATGAACTAGCTAAACAATTGTAGCTCCTCTATTAAGCAGAGAGAGAGCTACTAAATATACCTAACAATCTCCAGTAAAGCAGAAGACCATTTTTTGCTATGCTCAATTATATACATCATAGTACCTATCTAGGAGGATGCTACACCTGTATTTAAGGAGCAACATGTAACATATTGCTTTGGAGTAGTCACACACACCAACCACATCCGCCCATGCCCGCTGTCACATTTTAAAAACAGCGTGGTTGTGTGGGCCTCAGCCAACACAGTAATACCATTCATTCACAGAGATCTGTGAATGCATGAATTACAAATTCCATCTGCCACTATGACAGCTCTCAACAAACTATGAGAGTGTTGATGAGTGCCCTCATAGTTCATTGACTACTCCTGTACTTCATTAACTGTCTGCCTGTATGGAGGTATGGGCAGACAGCTGCAATGAGTGTCTGCAGGAGCTTGGTATTTCACATTTTGGTAACTGCAAAATCACGTGCATTTATTTTTTTTTTTTAAAAGGTAAGCATAGCCTTTAATGTCTCCAGAACCAAATTGATGTGTATCTTTCATATCTTCCCAGAATTTAGCTTTAAAACAAGCCAACTGATTTTAAAAGAGGTGTTTATAATACATTTACAATTAATTTTTATAAGTGAACATTTTCAAGGATCGTGCCTAGATTTTCTTTATTGAACAATATATTTATACTGGGGCCTTTACTTTTGATTAATAGAAAACATTTTACATTCATCAGCAAACTTGCGGGTTTATATGTGTTTTTTTCAGGTGCTCTGAAATTCTAACAAACCAAAAATAGCATATATCAAATATCAAACTGCTAACAGTATGCGTGTATGAGATTGTAGAAGTGACACAACAGTGTAAACTGCTTCAAGACAAATTACTGATAGAATGGTCTATGGCTCTATTTAATGCAAAGTGCTACAAAATGTGTTGGTAAATATATAAAGATGAGTTAGATGAAAAGGATTAGTGTGCAATGACTAAAAGCTAATAGATACTGTATTTATCTAAATTGAAAAATGTCCCTAAGATGTCATGTTGATAGGCAATTTGGACAAACTGCATTTTCCATTTGAAGGCATGCAGTTGAATTTGAATGGAAAACAAAAGGGTCTAGTTCTAAAAATATATTTTTCGAATGTCTCAACATAATTGCTGGTATAATAAATAATACCTATAATATTTGTAATGTGGAAAAGTGTGGAAAAGTTTTTCCTTGTTGTCTTTCACTGGGCAAATGTAACATTTCCTAACATTTGGTCCTAATAGAAAAATAACTATAAAAACATTTGACCATGAGTGTTTACATTTACCAACAGATTAAATAGCCTAACACTATGTGCTAAGATGTTTTGACCATCAGAGGAAATAATATGAGGGAGACGTCTGCACTGTGTATAGTCTAAGGAGAATCTTGTGCAAACTGCCGAATGAACTTCCGGCTCAATGGAAATCCCAATGATGTAATTGGCCAAATATAGTAATATCAATAAATAAGTAATGATATCACCTGTCGGGCCCACCAATTTGCCTTTATTGAGATGGCGGAGACCAGCAGATACCATTTGAGTCAAGCTAAGGGTTGTAATGTGTGGGTGGGCAGTGTTTTTTTTTTATCATTCAGTGAGTCAACAGGCATTGGGCATCATGGTTTATACAAATCTGCATTTCCCGGAAGATATGATTGATGGTGGATTTATATTGATGAACTTTTGTTTTTTTAAATTAACCACTTCTGGACCACCCAAAGTACATGTACTGCAGGGTGGCGACACAAGCAGTCTGTATGTAGCTTAGTACATGCGCACTGGGGCACACTCCTTGGGGCACGCAAGATGCCACTGCCACCACCGATGTGTTTACTGGATACCAGAACTGGATGCTTTGATCAATCAGGGGATCATGTGATCACTCTGCAATCACATGACCACAATGTTAACAAAGCTGTTATGAATAAATGTCATTGTATTCTGTCAGCAGTACCTTCTGTTGTTAAAATGCACTGATCAGTGGCTGCAGCTGCTAATTGAGGAGATCTTTTCTACATGTTCCTTTGACAAAAACAGATCAAATGATCGAATTCTGTTGATTGGCCACACACCTTACAAGAATTTCTATGCCTTTTGTTTTAATACACCTGGAATATATTAAGCTTAAAAATGAAAGTTAAACTCTGTCCCTTAACCGCCTCCCGTCCGCCATATAGTACAATGACGGGCGCAAGGCGGTTCCCTCGTTCTGGGAAGACGTCATATGATGTCCTCACATTCTAACCACACATACGCAGCTCTGGGAGCACGCAGTGCGGCGATCGGTGGTACGCTGTGTCCCTTGGACACAGCGGATCACCGATCAACGGAAAGAGCCGAAGATGTTGGCTTCGTATTGGCATTTCTCTTCTCATGAGCTGTCACGCTGACAGCTCGAGAGGAGAGCCAGTAATTGGCATCCCTCAGAAGGGACATGTACACTGATCATCAGGGCATCGTCAGTGTCCATCAGTGCCAGCTGTCAGTGCTCATCCATGCCACCTGCCAGTGCCCATAAGTGCCACATCAATGCCACATTTCAGTGCCTACCAGTGCACATCAATGCCACATATCAATGCCCATCTGAGCTGCCTTTCCGTGTTATCCATCAGTGCCAGTCAGTGCCACCTATCAATGCCAGTCAGTGCCACCTATCAGTGCTGCCAATCAGTGACACCTATCAGTGCCAGTCAGTGCCGCCTATCAGTGCCAGTCAGTATCAGTGTGCTTCAGTGCCGCCTATCAGTGCCCGTCAGTTCTGCCTATCAGTGGCACCTAACAGTGCCAGTCAGTGCACCTAACAGTGCCAGTCAGTGCCACCTATCAGTGCCAGTCAGTGCCGCCTATTCCAGTGCCACCTATCAGTGCTGCCTATCAGTGCCATATATGAGTGCTGCCTTTCAGTGCTCATCAGTGCCACCTATAAGTGTCTATCCATGCAGCCTATCAGTGCCTATCACTGCAGCCTCATTATCACACATCAGTGAAGGAGAAAAATCACTTATTTACAAAATGTTATAACAAAAACTAAGAAAAAATGTTTTTTTCAAAATTTTCAGTTGATTTTGGTTTGTTAAAAAAAAAAAAAAAAAACCCAGAGGTGATTAAATACCACCAAAATAAAGCTCTATCTGTCACAAAAAAATGATCAAAATTTCATATGGGTACAGTGTTGCATGACAGCGCAATTGTCATTCAAAGTGCAACAGCACTGAAAGCTGGAAATTGGCCTATGCAGGAAGGGGGTATAAGTGCCCTGTAGGCTAGTGGTTAAAGTTTATTGAAAAGATTCTGGCTGGTATAAATTACAGACACCCAGAGGTACCTTCACATATCTTTAGCAGCATATCCCCAGATATGACCAAATACGAGCCTGAATTTCTGTCTGGGTAAAGGTTTATTTTTTACCTTGTCAAAAAAAGTAAAGTTTGTCCGCCCCCTTCCCCATTTTATACATTCTTGTAACCCATTACTTTGGTGGGCTAATAGGAAAAAAATGCTTGATCAGGGCTAAGGCAGGCCATAACTATGCAATTTTTTTCCAGCAACCAGAAAATCACTTGATTCTCCCATCAACATAGTCAGCGTTGATGGGCGAATCCCAGAGCTGTCCCTGCCGGGAGAGCACAATGATTACTGCTAACAACTATCAAAGCTGCCAAAATCACATGTCAAGTTTCGATTAATCTGTTGTCAGATTAATTGAAACTCTCCTCTAGAAGTGTTAGATATTTACCTGATCAGAACACTCGGACTGGGTGCCTGCACTTCATGGCTGTCAGCTGCTATCAGTGTTTTTAAAGTGACAAAGCCAACCTGAAGAGTTCAAAGAAAAGAAGGCTAGTGTTTGCGCTAGCATCCAACAGCTGGAATGCAAAATGTTAAAAACAATCTTGGATTGAAAACTTGGGTACTAGCTCCAGCCTTGCAGCTGGGAGTGCATCGGCTTGGTGCAGTAACCATTTAATAAAATATGAAAAACTAACAGCCTGATGTTGCACTCACGCTTTTAGTGCTATCAAGGGGCACATCAAAAGAAACACCACTATTTTCAATCCTCTTGCGCTTTCTTTCATTATTATGTTTTCAAAGCCAACCTAAATACAGATATAAAAATACCAATGAATGCTTTTATGAATCTATTAACGTTTTTGAATGTTTTTATTTGATGCAATTAATGTAACTACCATAGTTCGACTAGATTTCAGACTGCTGTAAACCCCTGTACAGCAGCAGTCATACTGAGGGAGAAAGTGACAGTGCTTGGGGCCAATCAGCTGCACAGAATTCAAATATGTTGACAAGGAAACAGAAGATGCAGACAGGAGAGCACAGCAGAGAGAAGACAGACTGATGTTGCTCCTTTACTGTCCAATAAAAAGACTGGGGGCAAAAAGGTGTGTTGTGTAACTGCTGTAGAAAGAAAACAGGTCACCAGGCTGACCATGCTGTATGGCAGAACTGTGCAAACCTCAGGAACGAATGGGCAGAAATAAAACTCTTTTAGTAAATAAAACATATTTATTATAACTGTATATTTATCATGTTGTCTGAAATTTGGCTTTTAAGCTAATCAGTCCTGCTCAATTATTGGGATATTGATTTAATAAGACTTTCAGTTCACTCTTCTGAGCGTCTGATTTACATGGTTCATAAGTGCCTTGAGTGCATGTCTACACCCAAAGTGAGACTATATGCATGCATGGCTTTCACTGTAAAATTGCTAGAAAATTGCTTCAGAGGAGCGCTATTCAATTTATTTTACTGCTATTTGAGGCTCTGTTAGATACATTTCCCTTCATTTATTCCCTGGGCAGCAACAGTCTTATTAGACTTTCTTGCTACTCCATAGAGGGAAAAAGATGCAGCAGGGACAAATACATCAATAAAAAAGCTGGAAGTGGTTTTAGCTATCCCCAACGGTATAAACATTTTATTTTTCTGTATTGTTGCAGATCTTCCCCTCACCTCTATTCCTTCACCACTCTAACTAAAACTTAAAAAAGACATGCCTCAGCTTTTTTATGTTGGAAATTATCCAGAATTAATTCTAAAACTTTTTTTTTTAGTTGATCGTCTGTGGTAAACTACATCCCAGTGATTTACTACTAAGGATAGCCAAGCTTGTTCATGTGAATGCACATGCATGCACAGTATATAGAAATGAATGAGCCAAAAAAAAACTAATCTAGTTAGTGAGTAAATGCTGCTCATACTTGCTGCATGAGCTAACAATAGCTCAAAATTCATAAAGAAGCCCTTTAGTGCATTCATACTAAAAATACAGCAGGAAGTACATGACTATCATGTTTGTCATAAAGCTAAATTAATTGGGGAGAGGAGGGGCACAGACAGACAGATAACTACCTGAAAGCAACAAGTGGAGAGATTAACTGTCCTTTCTCAAGTAGGTCTATGGAGTAGCAGGAAATTACATGAACCTCACTCAGTGATAAGAATAGTGCCCATGGCTATCCTTTGCTCTTCAACAAAAAAGAAGGAAGGATAAAACCAGCACTCACAGAAATTAGTTCTTCCCATGAAATAACTAGTGCCCTGACCACCAGAGAATTATATTAATGCCCCCTATAAGGACCAAACTATTTTAAAACTACTAATGGCCACATTTGTGTTAAAAAAAATGGGGTTTAGATTCTGAATAGAGGTATATGATTGCTTAAGGGGTCCAGCCAATTACCCTCAGAGAAAATTTTTAGCTGTGGTCATTTCTCTAGGTGCTTTAACTTTTTAGCAAACATAACTAATTTAAGTTTTCCTCACTTGTGTCTTTTGTTATATACTGAACAGTTAATGCAATGCAAGTAAACTAACATCATCATTGTGGAAATCATATTGTTGTATTGATAGTTTTGCCAATGGCTACACACTTAGAATACTTCATAAACTATTGTAAACAGATAGCTGCCAAGCTCTCTAGCAACCCATTATCTTTGAGTTCATTAGTATGTAGCAAATTAATACATACACAATGGTCCAATAATTTGGGTTTGGGGATCAAATATGCCAAAAAGAATACTTTTTTTGGATGTATTGACAATAGAGCCTCTTTTTAAAATTACGTTAAAATGACTAATACAAACAAAAAAGCAGATGTTTATAATTCAAAAGAAAAACACTATATCTGTTGTTTAATCTAGTCATTATGTTTTTACTATAATTTTGTAAATGGCTTTTCATAAAGCGTGCTTATTGAAAAATTAGTTGTTGTTTTCTTCAGATGTTTAATATCTTCCTTTGATATTTTTAAAAATCAAAGTCATGTTGCTAAGCCAAAGACTTTTATATTTTTAGATTTTTGCCATAAAACATGGTGCTGATGCTCTTAGATAGCTTGCTTAGTGTGGGTGCTATACAATTGTAAACTAATGATTTATAGAGTATAGTGCAGCCAGCTTGTATACTCCAATGTAGTTTTTTGTGTGCGTAATTCTTATACAATATGGACATTCTCAAAATTATTGACACGAGATGACATATCTGCCTATCGTATATGGAGCAGCACCACATAAATTGCTACACATCATCTGCTTGACCAACATTTGGTGGCAGTATATATACAGTAATAAATCTGTTCCATTGCTTATGAAGAGAAGTAAATTAGATAAGATTCTATAGTGGTGGGATTCCACAAGTTTAAAAATCTCTTCTAGTTGTTACTATTACTTTTGATTCTAGCAAAGGAACCCTTACCATAATCCTTATAAGTGTCCCTTTCTGGTAGCAGTAACCCTTACCCATACGAGAACCCTTGTATGTTAAACTTATCTACACATGGAACAAAAACCTTGATAACATACTAATAGCCAGGATACTTTTAACATAATGCAATTTCTTAAACTCAAATAAACATTTCTCTTTCACTACATTTCTTTGTATATATTATCATTAAATACTTCTTAGAGATTTGTTTTTATCATTTGTTTCTTTACACTTCATATAAAGATAAATGTTCTGATTCATTGGATAAGCTGTTCCTCCAATTGAATAGGCTTAATATTAAACCGTTTCCAATAAAATTACTTCCTTTTAGTAGTTTCAGATAAAAAGAAGTTGAAAGTTTACACTTTGTGTATAGTTTATGCCACACTTTGCTAAAATATTAGCATATCAAAAGATCTCTGGCTAAAAAAAAATGGCTAAAGCCATATCTTTTATCCAATCCACTCCTACCCATTTACAACAAATCTCTTGTACAGCTGTTTTTTTACTCTCTTGGGTTTTTCATCTTTGTCCATCACCTCCTCAGGCAGTGGGTACCAGAGATCCAACACTGCAGTTATGGTTGGCCATTATTGGTCTTGCTTCTGAACCTTGTTTTGTCATCATGCTGCTACAATCTTCTGTAGGCAAAATAAGATCCCATCACTGGACAGCCAATGGCAAGTGTCCCTAGCGACACACAGGTTTGGTGTATTGGTTTGGTGGGTATTTGCTCCTTATAGAAGAGGCTTTAGGGAACTGCAAAACTAGTGGGAGTCTGCTGGAGCAAAGGATTATTATTATTATTATTATACAGTATTTATAAAGCGCCAATTGTTCGCTCAGCGCTGTACATTACAAAGGGGGACAGAATATGTGACAGAACAATACCAATACAATGCAAAACATGAGGGGATTGAGGGCCCTGCTCTTTCGAGCTTACAATCTAGGAGAAAGGCAAGTATTACACCTTATACCTCATCCCATAGAGATAGTAAGCATTTAATGCTTGCAATGTGTGTGCATGTGTGTGTGTATGGGGGGTGCAAATGTAGTTTTTTTCAGTATCTGTGCATTCGGATCATGTATACATATGTCTGCTGTCCAATGTCTAGCTTTAGCACTGTTAAATGGGAACAGCTAAATTGCCACTGGTATAATATTTATAAAGTAGTGAGTTCCAGTTCAGATTGCTTACTTATTTTATTCAATTTTCTGCCTGGCTTTTATTATTTATCTGGACATTTTTCTATTTAGCCAATAAACATTTGCAAAATGTAAAACAGTAGTAATTTTGAAACCATTGATTAGCGATTCAGTTTACAATGCATAATTA